GCGGTATTAAGCTTTGGGTGTCAGAAAACCATCATTATCATCATCGTACGGGGAGATACAGTGAAGCGGGCTCCACTGATCGCTGCCAAGCTCACAATGTACACAAATCAAGTGATAAAGCACAAGGTGGAGAGGGATTAGGCCTACTTGGAGGGAGGCAAAGAAAAGGAACCTCTATGTTCAACACACAGAGTACACAATCTAAGCGTTCATGCATACCTTTTCAAGCATTCTGACTTGTTAAGAAATGACAACAAGAACGCCATTGTTGTCGGTTGGTCACCATATCCTTTAATGTTTCCAACCAGCCAGTTACAGAGTCTTTCGGGCCCAAACCTGGAAGACGGGAGACACCGAATCTGCCTAATCGCTCTGTGCATTTCTTCATGCCTCGCTTCCACGTCATATGTTGACCGCCACGCGATTTCTTCCAACCTGAAGCCGCAACTGCAATGCGGTGCGGCAGACGATGACTGGGAATGCGCAATACGTGTCCGAACCAGCGAAGCCTACTAATCTGAACTCGATGGGACAACGAATTCTCCATCGAATCATTGACAACTACATGACGCCTCACCTCAGAGCTGCTTACAAGCTCGCTCCATCCAACCCGCACCAAACTACGTAAACATGTGAAATCGGTTACTCCAAAACGACGAATATATTCCACGCTCTAATTTAGGGTCCCGCAACCATAGAGCAGAAGTGGCCGCACACTGGCGCAGTATACGCGACATATCAGTTTCAACGAAGCATCGCGTCTGCACCAAAGTTGTTTCAATCCTGCGTAAGCTGTTCGAGCCTTGGAAATGCGGGTGGTTACTTCATGGACTATACTACCGTCATTTGAAACGCAGCTACCTAAGTAGGTGAAAAATTCCACTACAGCTAATCGTTGACCGTCAAGCATCAACGCTGGGGAAGACGACACCCATTCTTGAAGCATCACTTAGCACTTTGAAGGTGCAAAGTGCATGCCGAAAGGAGATACAGAACTTGCTATTCTGTCAAGAGCGCATTGCGCATCCTCCATAGATTTGACCACGTATACGACTTCATCGGCATACTCTAAATCGCACAACTTTTCTCCATCTGCCCATTCGATACCTAGGTTTTGGCGACCACTGAGTGCGTTCTCTAGTATTTCGTCAATGACGAAATTGAACAGGAATAGCGAAAGAGGGCACCCTTGACGAACGCAGCTGCGTGTGACGAATGGTCTACTTAGTTCATCATAGACCTTTACACGGTCAGAGGTATGCGAGTACAGTGACCTTAGTAAGTTAACATACTTCTGGGCATTCCTTTTCGAAGAAGAGAGCCCATCAGAGCTGCGCGATCAACCGAGTCGAAGGCTCCTTTCAGGTCAAGGAACACTGTAATCACTGGTCGACGGTGGGTGTGACGCAGTTCGAGGAATTGACGCAAAGTGAAGATTTGATCGATGCACCCGCGACCTGGTCGGAGTCCGGTTTTTTCGCGGATATTCCTCTACGGTAAGGGTGTCAGGCGGCGAAGAATCACAAAAGTCAACACTTTTGTGATTATCAGAACTAAACTAAACCCACGGTGGTTAGCGCAGTCGTTGCGTGATCCCTTATTGAAGATTGGGACAATCAAAGATTCATCTCAGGACAAAGGGATACGCTCATCTGTCCAAATACTGCGAAGTAAGCTGGTAATTGAATCGACAAGAGAATCACCGCCTACCCTGAAACGAATAGGGAGAAGCCTATCAGGTCCCGCAACCTTTCCTTTCTTTAATGATAAAATGCAGCTTCGTACTTCCGATTCTGATAGCGGCTCTCATGTTACCACCCAAGGAGTTTCCACCGCAATTACTGGAATGACCGCATTAGCACTAGGTCAGTTGAACTGTTCACTAAATTACTCTGTCCAGCGATCAAGTCGTAGTTCTTTGTTGTGGATAGTTTGTCCACTTTTATCGCAAACGGTCTCACTGATCGGCATGCGATGACCTCCGGTGCTGCGTATCAAGTGAATTAATCTGACTATTCCCTGATGCAGAAGCTACCTCCATTTCACTAGCTATTGTGGCCCCCCAATGTTCAAGGTCTTTCTTGAGGCTACTTCTGAGTTGACGTTGCAGGCGACACCGGACCTTATGCTAATCCTGGCAGATTGGGATCTTTCGCTTTTGATCCATTAGGATTACTGACCCCTGAGAGATCCAATGGCTTCGGCGAGCTTCGGGCTCAGTCCCACAAGCAAATTTTGTTGAAGAGTGCATCGCAAATCTAATCTGATTCCACTGTTAGTCTACTCCACTATGTTGCGGTTCTCCTAGCTCCTGTCCCAGCTTCTCATAACGTGTGCAGACAGCTGGATCGCTCAGACGATGGCGAGCTAATTGAGGAGACGATTTCTGCCGATGACCAATGAGTCGAACTGTGAAGCGTAACAGAACTAGTGCATGATCCGACTCAACGCAGGTGGACCAATCGGATGTGCAATTTTGTTCTGAACTACGCCAGCGGTAGCTTACAGCTATGTGGTCAATGTGGGTCTATGTGCCCGTTGAACTAGAACACCATGTAGCCGTTCGACAAGAACTGTGTCGAAATTTGGTGCTAGATGAGAACAGCCGGTGATCTGCGCAGAACTGAAGTAGTCGATCACCGTTGTCTGTTCGCTGAGCGGGGAGGGAGAAGTGCCTTCCTAGACAGGCTTCGGGTGCGCTCAGTTCTCCAACACGCGCGTTAAAATCACCTGTCAGCACTAAAATATATGAGTTGCGGCTTAACCGAATCAGTTCGGCCAGTTTGTCGTAAAATTCGTCCTTTCGTAAAGCGGGACTGCAGGTGGTTGGTTCATACGCGGAAATAATGAACAAACACCTTTTGGTGTTGCTACCCTTCGAAACACTAACTGAACCCTATAGCCTCATTGCGCACCGACGACTATTGACGGGTATGCCATCTATCATAGAGGCTTCAGCTTTATTGTTTAGTACGATACTTAAACCACGCTGACCCAGTGAGCCGGCTTCGTCGTCTCGTGCTATGCGAAGGAAATACCTCGAGGACAGACCCGGAGCACTCAGATGGCTTATAATACTAGGATCCTGAATTCTTGTCTCCGATACGCAACAGACATCGATTGCTAGAGACTGCATTGTACGCGCAAGACACGCCTGTTGACCCACCTGCATAAGAGTCCTCACGTTGAAAGCCCCCAGATTGAGAGCTTGGCGAGGCTTCAGAATCTGCACTTTATTTACAGGAAAACTAGTTACAGGTCTTTTTGGCAAAGACCTTTGGCGAGTGCCGACCAAATTGTTGGAGGGAATATCACGGGTCGGAAGAAGGGGTAAAGGAATAGGGTTGGGTACGGAAGACAAAGAGTTAAACAAAAGTTGTGATATCTGAGCAGTAGCCCACTTATCACTTCCCACCCCGCTCGATGCAATGGGCAGCGCGGTCCTGATTATCCTGCGCGACGACCGATGCAGTATGAAATTATTTTTTGTTTCTGTGTTCATTAGAGCTTTATGGATGGGTACTGCCAGGGGTTTCCAGCCACTAAGTAGCTTTTATTTTGTTTTACTTTCCAAAAGTAATTTTAGTCCCAGGTATGATATATATTGAGATGTATCGGCATGACTACGAATCTCTGAAAACGAGCTTGTTCGCCACTCTGTTGTTTTGCTTGAACTAGAGATATATGCAGTAAAACTAAATTATACACGAAATACTAAAACGTTTTTTACCGAGATTCTCAAACTGTATACTGTATTCTGGTTTTAAGGCCACAAGTGATCCACTGATACCTGTTCGCTCTTTCAGTTAGTTGGCAAAACATCGTAGTAACTACGACCGTACTGCCTGAAGGTAAACTAGGATTCGCGTAATAAAATGCCCAACGTCTTCAAAGCTTTTATTGCAAAGAAAATATAATTGCTTGTCCGTTATCTGAGAAAAAGGCAAAGTATTTAATTTACTTTCCACAATGAAGCTTCGTTGTAGGATTAACAACCAAGAGAAAATCGGTATTTTCCTTCGATGACAGAAGCAAGTTTGGCGTTGACGTGTTGAATTGAAATACGACCCGTGATGCTCACCTAATTGATGGACTATAGCGAGCTGGGTAAATGAGCTTGATGTTCAACCCCAAAAACGAAAATTCTCTCCTGCCAATCCTTGAGGGGAGAGGAGTTCGTTATGATACCCACCAGCTGAAAGAACCACTTATTTTTTCGTTCCGATCTAGTCTTCTCATATTCGCTTCCCAGTCGCAAGCTTACTAGACACAAACGATAAGGTGCGTAACCCGGAGCTGCGATAACAATTCAGGCTTGTAACGGACTATTGATGGAACGTGTTAGTCACAATAAACAAGGAAAATAGTTGTTTTGAAATACGAACTCTGTGGAACCTAGTGATTATTGGTGTAGTTTTGAAGAAATACTACATTAGGTGGTGGTGGCGCATTGGTTTAGTCGCCCCCGCCTGGTGTGCTTTGGACCCTTTAGTCCGAGGTTCAAGCTCCGCTCCTGCCACCCAACTTTGGTGGTAAGCGGCTTTCCTGTCGTCCGGTCCAATGCCACACCTAGCCTTGTGTGGTTCGTTACTTGAATTCCCGGAGCTTAAGTGGCCGGTTTTCATCCCGGAACAGCCGGTCCACACAACTATGGAGATTTCCCTGTATGCTGTTCATCACACTGAAGTGTGTTATAAAAAGAATTGCACAAAACTCTATCAACCTTGCCGAGTTTTCTCCCATACCCTGGAGCCCATGCAAAGGAATCTAATTCGAAGGATACAGCTTTGTGTGGCACAAGAACGTGGTATTTTGGAATATCTTTTGTGATTGTTCTGGGCAGCAGCAATCGGTGAACTCCAGAATAGACCTTTTTAAAACTTCAGAATGACCACATGGTATTTTTTCAGGGTCACTACACTTTGGTTGATCGTCTGTGGTTGATTGTTTTTTGTTTGTTTCTCTGTTTTTTAACATTTTCATTGAGGTGAAAATCGNGAAAATCGTAATCTCACCATCTTTCAAACATGAATGGGTCTCTTTCTCGGTTCAGAACGTACATTAAGAGGAATGTCGAAGATCTGTGGTCTAAACACGTGACTTGCATACTACTTTTCGATATATTTCAGGACTAAGACAGAATGTGTAGTGATTGAAGTAGTAGTAGTAGTAGTAGTAGTAGTAGTAGTAGTAATAGTAATAGTAGTAGTGTTATAATTCCAAAAGGCGGTGCTGGTCGAGGATAGTTGTTTATTAAGGATTACAGATGGGACATCACTAATTGGCATAAATGACAGAAATCTCATCAGAAACATACCATCACAGTTCCTGGTCGCACAAGGGGTAGTAAACATAGCAATCGATAGTTATTCTTTGACATCCAGCAATTTGCCCTCGGTGATCTTGTTAATTTTTGATTGTACAAATAAATCACCAACTATGTTATCTACTACTCACAAATGTGAGTAGCACTTCACAACAGTAGTAGTAGTAGAGAAAGAAAGACAATCAAGACGACAAAAGTATCTTCAAACCAGATTCCCCTTTGATTGACGGCAGTGCTTAACCCCTCAGTGATATTTTCAATGTGACTTAACTCTGCGAGTTACGTGAAACAATATAATTCCTGATTTTGATTGAGACATTCCATCCGCCCTCGGTAACAACATGAGTTAAAAACGGACCGATTTCTTACAATAATACTGTACAAAACATAGGGAACCGGTAACCAAAAAAGGAGATGAAATATGAATTTCAAGTACGGAGAACTTGGTACATCGCTCTCCCCCATGGAATCAAGAGGTGCGAACTACGTGGCCAGTATGTGAAAAAAAATTGTCCGCTGCGAGCGTATCCTGTGTGAAACAATACAGCGGGTATCCGCTTCTCACCTCGAATGCTCCTCGTCATCATACAAAACGACCGTATTCTGTTTCGGTCAGTTTTACTGGTTATTGATCCAGGGCTGGGTGAGCCGCTGTTGAGACATAATTCGCTGTGAGTACTACGCCATCTATACACAAAAACAGCCCAGTCACCAGTGCCCAACCGGATAACTCCAGTCCGAGCCTGTCAGTCAACTTTGAATAAGCCCATGATCCAAGCAATGATAACGGCGTCGATTTGAGTACACCATGAGCACAACACCTGTCCCTGATCCTATTCACTGTGATAAACGTTGGTTGATTGTCAATGTCTGACCTACTACGACCAAATTGCCGTAACGCTAGCTCGCACCTAATATCATCACCCGTGGGGATCGGTGTGGGCCTAGATTAGCTGTTTTGCGCGGATCGCACTACCTCACGGAATCGACGTCCGCCAGCAAACTGGAGTGGATACCGAATCAAGGCCTGCTTCATTTCAACACCGAAATAACGTGGGAAAAAGGTGGTCAATCCGGAGGTAGAAGGTCCATTCCAAGTCAGTTAACAAACGAACATTAAGCAAAAATTGTGAGAGAAACCTTATCAATTGGAGGTGCTTTCGATTGGTCTAGGGGAGGAACAATTGAGTTGGTGTGTTTGTGAGAGAGAAAGAGAGGTAATAAATGAGATCATGGAAGTTGTGAATGAAGCTCATTCGGTGAACTCCGGTGAATTCGAAGGAAAACCTGTCGGGCAGTCAGCTTACATGCTGACTGGTGAATGCCACATGCCTCTGTAAGTTGGATGGGTAAATTCGAATGTGAAAAGATTAGTGCTATCGGTGTGGCCTCGTAACTCAGCTGGTAGAGCATGAGCGTACAAAGCGTAGGCGGCGTCCATGCGTGGGTTTGAATCCCGCCGAGGCTACTGGACTTTTCACGATCGACATACATACTTCAAGTCTGCCAAATAATAATTTCAACAATGAAGCAAGAGGTCAAAGAGCTAATGATGACGTCATAGAAGATGGGAGCTTAGTCTGTGAGCAGTTTTGCCGTGTGGCTAGATTAAATCTTGTTTGTTAGTGAGCAAGGGTGTGTGTGTATGAGCAGTTGGTTGTGTAACTGGTATTAAGCCAGTGAACTGATAATTTGGTCCCGTCCGATCAGTAACTATTTAGACTTTCAAGTAACTTTCAATGATTCAGGTAACTTATCGATATCTGTGTACAGATTCATTCATTCATTCACAACTTCCATGATCTCATTTATTACCTCACACACACACACACACACACACACACACACACACACACACACACATACACACCAAATCAATTGTTCCTCCCCTAGACCAATCGAAAGCACCTCCAATTGATAAGGTTTCTCTCACAATGTTTGTTTAATGTTCGTTTGTTAATTGACTTGGAATGGCCCTTCCAAGAGGGTCGAAACTTCGTCAACCGAAAATTGTTGTTTTTTGTTTTTTTGTCCTTATGGCTAATCCAAACATCTCTATAGTGATTTAATACTATAAAAACGACGCACAATTTCTTCAAGGACATCCGTTGTAACTTGGGCTGTGATACCGTGAATTGAAAATATTGTTTTGTAGATTGTGACGCTATGGGCACGGCTGAGAATGCTGCGCTCTGTAAGATAAGCTGACAAAAGCAATCAAGTCATCAACAGTATTCACGTAGTTGAAACTATGGAATACGGAACCATGACGCTTTAACTTCTTTGAAACAATCCACTCAAAGTCTCGGAGGTTTTCATCATATCTCAGTTAGTCGTCTGATATTCACCCATTGAGGTGTGTCAGACGATTAATTTATTTGGGAAATGCGAATTCCTACGCTGTTCCATCATCATCGTGTGGTGTGGATTAATTCTGCTATGCCCATTCCCGCTCAGGAGGCTTAAAACATCCGGTATTGAAAGGACGAGTGTTGATGAAAACCACGATGTCTCACGAGTTTGATCAATCGTTACCTGTACGTCAATACGACGCCTAACCTATCGGGGCCTTATGTGGCTCACCACTCCAAGTCTCGGGGCGAAGGTCGCCGGTCTCCACCACTGAACAGCAGGTCCTCGTGATCACGGGGTTCTCCCCGTCTGCTGTTCATCACACTTGGGTGTGTAATAAAAAAATAATTGCGTGAGTGTATGTGTGTGTACTCTCCAATCGACTCCTTGGATCACAAGATCTGTAACCACTTCGAGGTTTCCGGTCGTAGAACAAACTCAATACGTTGGACTTTATTAAATTCCCGAGTCGTTTGATTACTTCCATCAAATCAGTAGCCTAAGGGGATGAGTTCTTTCCAAAAGACTTGCATTTTGGGATTACGAAGAGACCATTTCGACAAAGACAGACAGAAATTGCTTTGAATATGAACAGGAGAAACTTGTCTCTGTCATGAATACACCTCTTGGTCGCCAATTTATGCGTTAAGGATTTCTGTAGTGTACTAAAACAAAAAGTTACATAATAAAGCAATGAGGAATGAATTTTACTCTCAAAAGACAGCTAATTTTCACTCTACGTTTGACATAGGGACACAAATCACCGTTTCAACGCTTATTACCAGCCAACTTTCTGCTCCGAATGTGTCCCGTATTACTGCGGTTTTTAGTCTTAGTTGTAAAAAGTGACCCAAACGAAAATAAAACATTTCTGCATCATAGAACCGGTTCACTCCGTCTTGCTATCTCTGTTTATTGCGCGCAACATATTGCAGCGGTTTTGAGTTACTACAGTTTCATGTATTTTTTCTCAGATTCTGGTCAAATGCAAACGAAAGTCGGACTTCAGTAGTAATCCACAAACGTTTCAACCGGCTGGTTCTGGTAGAATATATTTATAGAATATTTTGTAGAATATTTTTTCCTCGGAAAGTTGAAACCATCCGGCAAACACACTTGCCCACTCCTGTGGTGCGCGGGACTAACCTCGATACGGACATCGGTTTGGTAGTTCTTCAGTAAGATGAAAAAATGAGCTCACGTATCGGGTACTTTCGTGCGATATAGTGAGTTATTTAGTGACTTTGAGTTGTACTCATTAAAATCAGTAGTGCCAATTCATTCTCGAATAGTCTTCTCCGCAAAGCATGTTTTCGTTACTGGTGGAGGGCGTGCAATCAAATAAACAGGTATGGAATTAGGAATGGATAGACAAATTATCTATATGTCTATTTGCACTACAGTTTATGTAAATGAAAAGCGGTCAGTTGACATTATGTATCTCGAATGGTTCGAGATTTGGCTATCCTTTTATCACGCCTTGTGTGTGGATAAAGGAACAGCCTGACCGATATGCAAACAATCATACTCACGGACTAAAACTACGTGACGGTTTTAGTTCAAGCTTATAATCGCTCGTGATTCAATCGAAGGCTCTCCGTACTCCAATGCGGAACACGTAGCTCTCCACTGAGCTTAAAGGAAATAATTCAACACGCATTCCATCTGTTGTTTGACCCCAGGCCACATCCTGTCAAACTCCTGAGGCCTGGATCAGAAGTTCCAAGACCAATCTAACTGAAAACCAGCTCCGTTTCGGTCGTTCACACTCGCGGAGTGAATAGAATTGTCGCCTGGATGCCACGATAAGGGTTAGACGTGAGAATGATGGGTTCCGCACCTTTGCGAGTCAGTTGGTGCTGTCGTTTAGCTTTCACCTCATCATATGTGACCTCGTAAACAAGACCTTGTGACAGGCCCTAGCCGCTCACACTTGCAAGCCTGTGACTAAAAATAACATCCAGATATGGGATTACCATGTTCCGTTTACCTAAGAGATTCGCATAGATGGAAGCCGCTTCCAACAGGTGTCCGAAGTCGCACAGCTTGTGCATGCCTGCACGCGTCTGATTCATTTGTTGGACTAAACTAAGGTCGGGCTGACGCGCGTTGACATCGCCGCTTGTGTCGATCTCGTGTGTACCACTCTTTGGTATTGCTGCAACTTATGATATCAAACCTTGACATCAGTTACCATACACAAAGTCGTTTGAACTGGTGCATATGATCTGGTAGGACATACTGAATTGATTTGATTATGTAGAGAACTGACTGTCAAGGGTAGAGGGTAAATGTAACAAAAATTGATCATAGGAAAAAAACTGGTCAGTCGCAGCTACTAAAACCAATTGTTGCAGAGTGCGTGAGCGCTGAAAGCTGTAAAGTTTGCTGGTTGGAATTTGGAGGCATTAGTGAAACCAGGAGATACAGTCTTCAGGTTGATAAAACGATGCGATCAAGCTGGCCCATGCTACTGTCAATCTTTCAATGATCGGCGTTCCGTGACAAACGAGAGGTTGCAATAAAGGACCTCTCGATACTGCGGGTAAATGGATTTGCAAATGCATCATTCGCAAAGCCTGTAGGTGCCTTTTCTGTTTCACAGTGACACTCAGGCGAGTGTTGAACAGCTGTGGTCTGAATGTGTGACGACTGTCATCGAAAAATGAGCGTCCGTTGCGTGATGGATTGGTGTTATTGGTATAAAACACAGTTGTCGCTGTGTGGGCATCAAACGGTTTGATGGAATGAGTGAGTTGGGTCACATCGACATTACAGTCGTTCAACATTCGTCTTGGTGCACGTTTTGAATCAGTTGATTGTTTTATAGATGAGATTACAAATAGAAAGTCAAATCACGTGATTGCATCTCGTTTCACTTTGGGTGCTGTGAGACTGGTCTAGGCGATTAGACGGACTTGTTCACGATTCAATCTGGTAGAGTGGGGTTCCCGTTGTTATAACTATCAGTGTAACTTTTTCGCTGCTTTCGCTCCAGGCAAAATGACGAGTATCAAAGTCCGTGTGCACACCATTTCCCTAACTAACGAAATGTAACAACACATCAGAAGTCCTGACACAAACTGTACCGTTCCAGCACCAAACGATCAAGATGAACATTTT